TTGGAATTAAAATAATAGTTTCAAAGATCTGAATTAACTTCCCACACTGAAGTAAGCCATTTTTCATAGTTTTTGCTTTAACCACATTGGCTACTGAAGCCTTAATGATTAAGCTTGGCTGAAGGAGATTTCTCAATATCTAGGATGTGAATTCAGCTCTTGTCAAAAGCTACTTTATTTTATGATGTTTGTTCAAGAGTATAAAGTGTTAAAGAGTATATCAACCTAGAGCATTGAGATGATACAAAATGGTGTAAAACTCATAATAAAATGAGTGTGGAATGCTTCACATAAAAAAAAGTGTGGACCTAAAAGCAAGTTATTCATATTTACTGTCATCCATTAGATTTTAAAAAATTGTCTGTTCCAAAGTTTAGGATCAAAGTATTATCCCTTGGCACAATCTCTCTCTCTCAGATCAAAGTATTATTCCTTGACTCTCTGTCTAGGATCACAATATTTCTTGGCTCTCTTGAGGCTCAATATAATATTTGTATACTCTGTGAAAATAAATATAAAAAAGAAATATGGATTTGTATTGACTCTTAAATATAGTTGATTTCTTTCTTTCAAAGTTGTCAGTAGCTTAATACTGATTGGCATAGGGCCTTTAGTTGTTGACTTTGAATGGTATATAGTTTTGCATTTTCAGTATTCTTGCATGCCTTCAAAATACACTGATTTTAATGTCTTCAGTTATCTTACTACCAAGGATCTATTAATAATTCAATTCATATATAAAAACTGTACTCACACTTTTATAAAATGGGAAAATATTTTGCAAATGGTATTTAGCCATAGACTAGTTAGTTTTTCACAGATGATAAATTAAAATATAAAAATTGAAGTAATAGCCCCAAGCAGTAGAGAAAAAATAGCAAAGCAGAAGAAAAGGAATTTTTTTCACAAGAACTATCATTTGAATTTCTTGGTAATAAACTGATTTTAGTGTCTTCCTTATTAACAGTCAGCCTTATACTTGAAAAACCTTGGATAACAGGTTCTTTTAAATAACTATATTCATAAGAAGCAGTCTAATTTTACATTTTGGTTTAAAAAAAATGAAACAAGCCCTCTCTTTCAAGGCCAGTTGTTTAGTTATAGTACAAAATAAATATACTGTTTAAAATTTGCTATATTTATAAGGAATGTGCTCAAAATTGGAGATAGAGCATCTGATGTAATGGAATAGGCTGGCACCCCCATGTGACTACACTATAGATAGTAAGTACCTATAAAGTCAACGGACTATATGAGATTTGCTGGGATCTGTTGAGTTCAACTCAGACTTACGTGAGAACTACTGACCTTCCAATAGCAGCACTCACTACTGGATTTACTTGCGACGATCAAGCACATAACTTTACCTTATATTTACCGTGTTTGTCGAGTATATATTCCTATTAGCAATATAGCACATCTATAGCTTGTATTGATATAGGAATGAACACTGCATGGTGACTGTCAGTTTCTTGCTTCATTGTGATCTTCAGACTAATATGATAGAACATCGATAGATATTGACAGTGTGAACATAGGAATCATAGTGATTGGAAATCTGAAGATTGCATTGAGGCAAGAAACTTACAGTCACTATGCAGTGTTAATTCTTATATCTACACTATATCTATAGTACAATATATATAAAAGTGAACATTGAAGTCAACACTCAGAGGCAACAGGCTGTTTCATGCTAAACTCAATCGTCAGACCACCTGACTATTGCATCTAGCGTGAAACAGCCTGTCGCCTCTGAGTGTTGACTTCAATGTTCACTTTTATATTTACATACACTCTATCTCTGATATTGAGCACTTTATCCCATAAATATAGCACACCTTATATTAGCAAATTAGTAGTAAATATCATAATCCATATATTTGATTGGCTTGAATTTAGAATTTCTTATTTGTTTTAATCTAATTGTCTTATTTTCTTACCCATTCCATCCCTTGATAATCCCAATTATTGGATTTTATGAGTTAATTCACTATTAATAACTAGATATCATCTGATTAATAGGAAAAAAAGTTAATCTGCTGAGATTTGTTACAAAACTATTGGGGAAAATAAATTATATGTGACAAATTGTTGTAACTGCAGAGAAAGGTTTGGAATTATCAAAACCTAGAGAAATGCACTTAATCTTGGCTACTTTCACCATTCCTAATCCTGAAACTTAGATTTGTAATTAAAAAAATCCTTTTTTTTTTTTTTTTGAAAGGATACAATAACTATATTTTTATCAGAATCAAGTTGTATAAAATTCTCCAAATATTTTTATCTGGTGACTTGCTGTATTGAAGGGAATTAAAAATATGTTTTTCTTACAGACCTTTACTCCAAAGCTTATTTCATATACATATCTAAATACTATGACTCTACTATATTATTTTATATCTATCATGCTTTATCAATACTATTCAATTGTACCTTTTGTTTTGGAGGTTATATTAGCAGAAACAAACATTGAGTCTGAATTCCTGAGATGAGAAATTATCATTATTTACATTTATCTAATGTCTTCATTTTTGTTATTATTATCACAACATTTCAACTGTTATGCCTTCCAACACTTTTCAGGCATCTGTCATTCTTGGTAACCTTCAAAGAATACAGAGTTCAGTTCAAAATTCTGAACATTTCCAGATTGGCAGACACCTGAAAAAGGTTATGTGTGGATATAATTACTAGAAGTGGTGATGTGTATTTTATGTTGTTGTTTTGTTGAAGTTATATTTTGGAATACAGTTTGATTTAAGAAATTGTAGGATATTATATGGCTTAATGTCATGAAAGTTCTTTTATGTTGGTGGTTTGGTAGTATTTTAAACGGATTTGGGTGAAGTCACTACAATTTGTTAGTATGTGCATATTTATTATTGGTAATTTTTTATATAAAAACTTATTTCTGGTATTTATACTAAAAAATGTATTTTTATAATTTCATAATGTTTTAAAAAATTCAAAATGAAGTAAATGGTGGCAAGGTCAAGGCCAGCCTTCAGTATTATAATCAAAACAGAATTTCCTTAAAAATTGTTCTATATTTTTTGGTGGGGTTCAAAAGCAATTTTATTATATATTATTGGCAATATGGACAAACTGTTACTGTCCAATTCTTTCCTGAGCAAGAAAGTTGAGGAAATTTTGTTGTATGGCAATTTTTGTTCACATATTACAATTTCAATGAAGCAAACAATTATAACTAGGTTAGGAAATTCTTCTACATGTGACATTTTCAATGCCATATGTGGAAGAGTTTCACTCACTTTGTTTTACTTTCCTTGTCTTGTTAGTGGTTCCAATAAGTTCAAGATATTGAAAAAAACAATAAAAAATCAATTAATACAAAACAAAATAGTAACCTAAAACCTGAAGCAGCAATTTACATTATAGACAGTAATAAATCTACCAAGAAATACATTGGTGCAACATCTAGGAAATTAAATAAAAGAATGTATGAAATAAAAAGGGATATTTTAGAAAATAATATACTTGTTGCATTGTAATAAGTCTGACCATAATTTTGACTTACTGTTTTAATTAAGAGAAAGGAATTCATTAAAGTAAGAATGTATAGAAAGTTCACTAATTTCTAAGTTTTCCACATTAAATTTACAACCTATTGGCTTTTTTAACATAACTATTGTGTACTACTTTTACAATGTGGGATATTTAAAGACCACAGCAGTAGGAAGCTGATTAAAAACAGCTAGATTGGGCCTCTAGACACATCAAATGCCAGAAATTTTAAAATTTTAAATCTGAAGTTAAGCATCCCTGTATCTTCAGTGTTTCCCTCAATGTACAATAATAAACAAACATTTTTTTTATATTCCATTCCTTCAATGGAAACATTAAGTCTGATGTTCTTTTGAAGGACAAAACACATCACATAAGATTTTTTCCATTTTGCCATTTTCCTACCATTAGGTTGATATATAAGTTTATATATCATATTCTCCTATATATCATCTCCTGTATAAATTTTCTGTTTCACTTTGCTGAAAACAATTGATTTGATCTGAATCTCATAAGAATTATTGTGTGTATATGGCCATGAGGTGCCAAACTGAGTTTAGTTAAACTTTGTGTATATATTACACATAATTTAAGTTCCTAATAAGAAGTAAGCAAAACGCTGAAGTGTAGCAGAATGCTGGTTTTACCACTTGTTTCAAATGGCTGGTTGAATACTTTTAAATTACATTGGGTAAACTACTTGTAGAAGAAAGAGTTAAGGCTTGTGACAGGATGACTTCTGAAAGAAATGTATCGAACATTTTTAAAAGAATGGGATTTAACACCTGAAGAAATTTTACATGTATATTTATATAATGAATAACATAGCTGACAAAAGAGTTACATTTATGAGTATACATTGATAGACAACTCTAAAAAAGGAGACAAAACATTTATGTACCTAGCTGTGATTGTGGGTGTGAAGGCACACGTGGTTAAATTTTAATAATCAGCTGTCTGCGGAAAGAAATTTCAACAGAAGGGATGAGAAGTAATGTTATCACAACTACATTTTGGAGCAGAAAGAGAGAGAGAATTAGTCCCTTCCTTTATTATCCTGAATAGTGCCACCTAGCAGGTGTCTTGGCAGACAAAGTGATGGTAATCTCCAGGAGCATTTTTCAATATAAAGATAGAAACGATGAAATTGCATAATCAATTTTGGCTCAGCCCAACATTTTCTTTCATTTATTATTATTATTATTATTATTATTATATTGATCATACAACACACATAATCATGTCTAACACACAATATGTGGGTTTTATGGATTTTATAAATGTTAAATAAAAATTAAAATAAAAAATGAATTGTTTTTATTTGAATAAAAGAGTTTATTGAAAAGAACATTACCAAAGCAAATACAAACTTATAGTCATGATATTTCTACTTGGTATATTGTATTATGCATTTTTTGTTAAAAAATCCTCAAATCAAATTATATCACTGATTAAATTTTTTGTTATTGTTTCAGGTCGTGTTGGTGGACGGACATACAGTATAAAGATGAAAGCTGCTGATAATAAATATGATTTATTTGATCTCGGAGGAGAATGGGTTGGAAAGTGAGCATTGAAATTTTGACCCTTTAAAATTCATTTTCAAGAGTATGAATATTTGCAATTCTTAAACCTACATTTAATAACATTTTTGTTAAACTCTTGCACCATTTGACAGCAATAATAGATATTTTTTTAATTTGCCTGTGTATTTTTTTTCTAAGAACTGAAAAATCTAAGTGTTGTCAAACTTCAAACTTTACAAAAAATCGAGATATGTGATAAACCAAAGAATGACTATTTTAGTATGTAACATTCAAATTCTGATTTTCCACATTTTAATTTATTTGATGGCATATAAAAAAGAACATTTACCCATAACAGAGTATCATAGAGTTAGACTAGGTACCTATGATATTCCAATATTATAGGTAAATGTTCTTTTAGTAGTCTATGGTGTCTTGTCTTGTTTTTTTAATAGTTTATGGTGTCTTGTTTGGGTAAACATTAGTCTTTCTGATACTTTAACTTGAATAGGGGTTGTGAGATTTTGACTCGAAAAAAATTGGTTTTTACTTGCTTTTAAATGCAATGTAACTTTTTTTCTTTAATTAACTACCTCTTCCAGTGAAGTTAAACAATATTGTACAGTTGAGCTTGGGGAATAAAAATTTACCATTAAGCAAAATAACTTTTATTTTATTTACTTTTATAATAATAATAATAATAATAAAGAACATTGTGAATTTTTTAGAGGAAATAAATATTAAATCTTGTGTGTGCCATGTTCCTTCATGATGTTGGCTATCCTTTGTAACTCAAAGTAATGTTTGTTCCTTTACTATTTCTTCCAGTCTGTTTTGCTATCCATTTACACAAGCTTGTTAGGTATGTTGCTTGGAAATTATGGCTTCCCAAAATATTAAGTAATATATCTGATATATATGAGCTTTATACTCTGTAATAGATTAATATTAATATTAACATCAACATTAATTTTTATCAGAAACAGAAGAAATATATAAATTCCCTGAAAAAAGCACTACAGTCAATGACTACAATAAAAAATTAAAAAATTGAAGAAAAAATAAACAGATTCTGTAACTTTGAGAAGAATTATTAACATTCCAAATTTTAGACAGTTGAATTCTCTCTCTGTTTTTTTTTTATATTACTACAATTGTTATAGAAAGAGTTACTAGTTGTAAGTAAATGCAAAATAAGTGAATATCTTCTGAGGGACTATATCAAAGCAAATGCAAGGATTTTATTTTGTAACAAGTATTTATATACAAGATCAAAAATATTGGTTTTTCAAAATATTTAAATTTAAGAATTGGATGAATATTTATGAGCATTCTTAAAAAGATTTGACAAACAAATAACATTTTGGCTCTTGTATATAAATACTTGTTACAAAATAAAATCTTTTCATATGCCCTGATAAAGTCCTTCAGAGGACGAAACACATTGGCTAAGGTAAGTTTTTCTTTTTGTCTTTTTACAGGTATACAGTATATTTATCTTTTGTTGTTCTATTTTTTAATATCAAGCCCTTTGTTTACAAAGATCAGCTCACTGTTAAACATGTTAAATTTCAGTATTTTGCTGATGAATGTGTTTTGTGAGACTTTAACGATCTGTGTTATTACATATATTTATATACAGGTTTAGGTTAGTTGTAGTGGAGATGTTATTTTTGTTGCATGAGGTTTTATTCTGAACAGCATAGTGCTTATGCTACACATGGTTTGTTATGCAATATGTGGTATACCTGGGGATTTAATCCTCCACCCCAGGGCAGAAGCAAGACACATCTTGTTACTATTACATTCTGTAGTTGAAGAGAAAGTAAAGAGACAGTTTATGTCTCTTCCTTTCATATGGATTTATACAACACCACCTAGTGAGCATTACTGGCAGACAAGGTGGAGCAATCCAACATAATGTTTTAGCTGATTCATTTTTCAGGTTTTGTCAGATGTATAATTCATAAGAAAGTGGATAAAATTTTTTTTTTTTTAATTCTGAAGGAATAAGGTTTCCCTCTTCTAAATGGTATAGTAAAAACATCAAGAATATTCCAGAGTTTAATTGGCTGAATAAAAATTGGAATCATGGAGATATATATACTGCTTCACTGTATCACAGCTCTTCAATGTGGCTAGATATCCAATTGCTTCAAGCTGGGATTGATACCTGACCAATTTGGCATCAGTCAGGGATCCTACCCCTAGGCTATCATCACATGGCAGAGATAAAGGGAAATTTTAACATTTTTATACAAAATACACCACTATCCAGGAGAGCTCAATTCATAGTTGAAGAGCAATGCGTATATATATTACTTGTGTTTGAAATGTTAAAATTTTATTAAAAATAATTTTAAAATAGCATTTTCAGAATCATTCAAACATTCATTTAATCTGTGTTTTTTTCTGTTTCTTTCTATTCCAGACCTCAACCACATCTTCATTATTTGCTTAACCAGTTCAACCTGGAAACTTTTAATCCACAATATCTTCCTGACTCAAAAAAACTGACAACAGACATTACATTCCTTACCAAGTTAGACCTGCTGCTTTTTTCCATGAAGGTAATTATTATTATTACTATTTGTGTATGTTATGTTTGCTGCTTTGTGTCCTGTAGAGGCAGGTCCAAACTATGGTCCTTAGGCCCTATAGGAGAATTCTCATTTAATTGATAGTACTTTTTCTAGAGCAATCTTCTGGGCAACTTGTATGTTGATGCTACCTGGGACACTGTTAGTAAAATTGTCCATTCCTTTTCTTACAAGGTCTAGACCTCCAATTACTAATTGTAGAGTCTCGGTCTTTATTCCCCACATCCTGTTAATCTTGATCTCAAGGTCCTTGTATTTCAACAATTTCTTGATAATTTTCATGGAGGTGTTTCTCTCAGATGGTACTGCTATGTCAGTAAACATCAGTCAGTCAGTTATGTGTCATGCGTGATACATGCTTAGGCAATCCTGTATCTTTAGATACATGACTGATGAGGCAGATTTTTTACTGCAGTTGCCATTTCTTTCTGCGGTAGACCAGTTGCCATCCAAAGTTATAGAACCCAGCCTGTCCTGCTATTTATCCATAGCTGGGAGGAGAAGAAGAGGATTCATACCTTTCCCAAGGGTATTAGCACGAAAGTGAATGTAATGGATTCGATTGGAATTCAAACTCGGCTCTCTAATTCCTCAATCCGAGCCACTATCCATTACTCCACCGTGCCTCCACTGTGCATACACTTACTGAATTTCTTGTCTTTTATGATAATATCAGGTCTGTGGGCTTTTATTTCCTTGTCAGTTTGAATTGGCATGACCCAGAGGACAGTTACATAGCTATATTGGGTAACTGTGTCTGGTTGGTGCTCATACCATCTCTCGGTGGTTTCGATTTTGTGCTTCTTGCATATCTTCTGATGCTACCTTGTTATGTCTGTGGGTATATTCACTTTTGCTAGTTCCGGACATCCTGAGATAATATGATTGATAATTTCATCATATTTTCTACAAATCCTGCATTTCAAGTTAGTTCCATCCTTGATTATGTGACAGTGATAGGATCTGGTTGTGAGGCTTTGGTCCTGAGTTGCAATAATTAGGCCTTCTAGTTCAGTTCCTCAGACACTGATGTATTTTCTATTGACCCACATCTGCTTTTTTCGTTCTTTTCTGGTATTTGCCATGCAACGCCTTATCCTCCTATTTTTTTTGTAATTTCATTTGGCCAAGTTGTTTTTTTCTTTCTATTTTAATCATTTAGTGTATTATTATTATTATTATTATTTTATATTCTCTCCAATTCTTAAAAGCTTTGGCCAAGTGATGTTGCTCATATCTCGGCTCTTACTTGCTGCTTAAAGACAACACTTTCCTCAGCAAATGAACTGTTTCAAGCAGCGCTGTCACCTGTGCACTCCTAATGATGTCAGCTATGCCCAAGGTGTTCTGCGAGAAAGGAAGATTCCTGAAAATAGTCTTGTGTGCAAACCACAGAAGGGACAACTTGAGCTGATGCTTGACATATTTCTTTGCCTTGCTAGGTCTTTGTATCTCTGTATTTTTGCTTGCTCTAACTTCACAATGTTCTTAAGGTACCACAAAATCTATTAGGATCCATTTTCTTGTGTGATATCAGGATAATTGCTTCCCAAGCACTTGTCAGTCAAGATAATCATATCCCACATAAGCTTCACTTGCTCATTCACAACAATTGATGATGATGAATGCTCATACCACTTCTCTGTGCACTCAAGGCCACACTTCCTGCATAATTCCTTATCTATTCTGACGGTTTTTCATGATGTCACCTGTACTCTTTTTATGCCACTTGAGTGCAGCCACAGATAGTTTGTTGCAAACATTCAGCAACTTTCCTACACAATCTGCATTATCATTATTATTATTAGTAGTAGTACAGTTTTTTGTTTTCAATTGGAGATCTTGCATTATGAGTGTTCTCCATCAAATCATGGTAATTGTTCAGATGAGCTCTTCGCTATGGTACCTAGACTTTTTGAATTTAAGTGCAGTTCTAGACTGGCATTGAGATCTCATCAATTTACAGTTGATCTAGCTAAATGTAACTATAAATTCTATGCTAGCAGTTTCTTTTCTCGTACTTTTCATTTGTGGAATTCCCTTCCGACCCCATACTTTCTAGCCAACTTTAATCTGCAAAAATTTAAATACAATGTCAATTGCTATCTACTGTCCTTCTGATTACTCTTTCTTCTTTCTGCTCATTATTAATGTTTCTATTCCTAATTCTTCCACACCCTGTAATACCCTGTGTCTTAGTGGCTTTACCTCCTTGCATGGGGTGATACTGAAAGAAAAAATAAAATAAAAATTCATACATCCTCAGACAGGGCACATTTTACTGAATATTTGCAGTGCTAAGCAATACTTCTAAAGTTGTGAGATACTAGACTTTATTCTAATTTTCTCAATATAGGACTTTTAAGTTTAGTGGTATAGACTCCAACACAAATGGGACAATAGTGATCTGAACATCCCACATTCTGGCAAATTCAATCCAGTAATCAGTGTACTTAAACTTTTCATTTTTTTTTTATTTTCATAATATGATCACCAGGTAGTTGCATCGATGAAGAAGCATTTTCTATTTATTTTTTTTTTTCATCAACAGTGATGTTTGGTTGGTGGGCTCAGGGATGCAGTCTGTATGGGTGTTGAAATCCCACAAAATCTTGACTTGGTCATTTTTGATTCCCTTCTCTAGCGTGTTCTGGTACCATTTCTCATCAAAAGTTCACACTTCCTACATAGGCACCATGTTATCATAGTGGTACTTCTGTTTTTTCTGTGCAATCATTTCACAAGTGCTAATGATGTGGTTGACATATTCCACCTTCAACACTGCACTTGTCCAGAACCATTTGGTGATAGATGTTCTTCTGAGTAGAATTAGTATTTAGTAAGCTTTCAGTGTTGCATTTCAATTCACCTTTCATCAACCAATTCCAGAAATTATTATTCACTTTCATGAACAATTTCACAAAAAGTGGATTAATATATAAAAATTTTTTTTCACCAAATAGCTTCTTTCTTTTTTTTTTTTTTTTTTTTTTTTTAAAGTAAAAATCATCATCTGACTTTTATTATTAATATATTTGACAAGTTTCATGATTTTTACACTGGAACACTTGTTTCTCTGTATTTTAAGTCAGATTTACTTCTCCCTGAATTTATAACAGGCCTTATAATTTACTAAAAAGGCCTTAGCAACCCATGTTTTTAAATCTTGGATCATTTTATTTCAGTAACTATAATTGAATGACCATATTTTCCTGATTTTTGTTTTGTAATCATTTTTTTATGTCTTGTAATTATTATCTGACAAATTTTATGTAGGTTATCTTTTTTGTCTTTAAGGTCATTTTGGAAAAAAAAAATGAACAAATTTAATATTTATATACAATTTCTTTTAAGAATTTCTAGCTACCATTGAATCAGACTTAAAAAGTGAATGTAATTATCTTTGTTATTACTTATTTATCACAATATTTGAGTCAGCCTGTTCTTCACTCGTTCCCAATTGACAAGTTTTCATACTGTAATTCATACCAGTTTCTGCAGTATAGAATCATTTCTCTTTGAACATTCTCCAGCCATCCTAGCTCTCTGTAAAACTAATCTGAACTCTTTAATCTCTTCCACTGAATTCTCTGTTCCTGGTTATCTTTCAAGGACTCTAGTGTCCATATGCATGGCTATAGTGTCTATGTTCGTGAACCTCTTTCACTAGCAAGGGAACTGTCTCTTATGTCTTTGGATTGTTCTTCAGACTTTCACTATTAAACTCATTCAACTATCTCTATTCCTTGATTATTTCTCTTCCTCTCATAACTGTTACTTGCTAGATAGAATTTCTTATAGTATAGATGATACCCTCTCTCTACAATCTGCAAATATCTTTGTGTTTGGTGACTTTAAAGTCTATCATGCCAAGTGGCTTCATCACTCTAATGCCACTGAACTTGCTGGCATCCAGACGTTGATCTCAATTGCTCAATCTCTCACTCAAATAGTAGATTTCCCCACACTTCTCTACTTGATTTCTTCCTTAGCTCCTTCCCTTAATCATGTCCTGCTCTTCAGCTCTGTACTCTTGGCAATTTGACCATGCAGTAATGTCTATAGATACTGCTTTCTGCTCTCCCATCAGGCAATAACCCCTTATTAACAGAATGTTTTACTGTTATCAATGCACTGATTGGGACTCAATTTGTGATTTTCTTTGCAATGACTCTAGGATTGATATTTTTTGTCATTTTGTTGAGAAATGTTCCACTGAGGTCTCTTCAGGGTGAAAGTCGACATTGAAGCTGTCATGCCAGCACAGAAATACTAAGTGAAACCACAGTCTTCTTGGTTCTCTCCTGCCTGTTCAGCCATTATAGCCCACAGAAAATTACTTCTTCCAACTATACCAGAGCAAAAAGTCTGATTGTAACAGATGTTGCTTGTAATAAGTGTAAGCATATCCACAAAGAGGTAGTCAATATTCCTGATAGAATAAGACACTGTATAGCATCTCACAAATATGGATCTAGAGATTACTGGAGGCTCTGCAAGAGTGTACTGAACAAAAGCAAATCCCTAGTCCCTCCTCGCTTCAAACAATTTGAAGTATTGACATCTACTGAAGATAAAGCAGAGTGCCTTGCTTAGAACTTCTCTTCCAGCTCCACTTTCATCTGGAGTATCCCTACTTGATTTTCCCTCTAGAAAAGAGTCTCTACTGAGTGATATGCACAAATCCATCCATAGTTTATGTTATTATTTCTGAACTAGATCTCCACAAGGCTTGCAGATTCAACAGTATCCCTGTAATTGTTCTAAAGAGATGTGCACATGAACTGGCTCCTGTTCTCTCCAAACTTTACAATAAATGCCTCTCTACTTCTTGCTTTCCAGCTTGTTGGAAGTCCTTCTTTGTAGTCGCTGTTTTTAAGAAGTCTGGGGAACCTTCTGATCCTTCATATTATTACCCCATTAGCTTATTACCTCTTTTTGGCAAAGTACTAGAGGCTCCAATCAATGCCAAATTGGTTAAGAATCTTACTTCATATGGCCTCTTTTCGGATAAACAATATGGCTTCCATTTCATCAGGTCTACCACCTATGTGTTAATAGCTATCACTGAATTTGTCCTTCAATCTTTAGATAAGAATGGCAAAGCTCGGGCTATGGCTCTAGATATCTCAAAAGCATTTGACAGGGTTTGACATGCTGTCTTTCTCCACAAATTCAGGGGCTACTATGTCTCTTGAGGAATATTTGCCTTAATCCAATTGTTCCTAAGAAATCGTGTAATGAAGGTTGTGTTGAACAGGCACATTTCTAGATCATTTCATATTAATGCAGGTGACCCCAGAGCTCTATCCTTGGACCTACACAACAACCTTCCTGATGTCATCTGGTCCCAACTAGGTTCTTATACAGATGACACAACTATAATAGTAGCATGTTCAATAGATCCAACAAAGTAAATCTTGCAAATGCTCACAAAAAGTGTATCAAATCAGTGGTTAACTAGGACAAAGAATGCAAAACAAAGCTAAACTCCAGTAGAGCAACACTCTGTACCTTCTTAGATTCACATTTTCCACTGACATGAAGAGGAATGATTATATTGAATCACCTGCTAGGTCTACTGCTAGGAAAGTTGGTTCTCTGTGTCATATAAGACAATTTTTCTTGTCAGAATCCATCTTGCACATTTATAAATCTACCATTTGTCTTTGCATTGAATACTGCTGCCATATATGCTCTGGTGCTCCTACTATATATACTGAGATTCTTGACAAAATTTAGAGAATGGTCTGTAATGTAATTGATCATGACCTCGCATTTTGATTTCAATCACTTTCTTACCGATGTAATGTGGCTTCCCTCTGTCTTTTCTACAAATATTTTCATGGCTACTGTTCTGATATGCTTTTTTCCTTAGTGCCTCAACTGCATAGATTTAAGTATGCCACATATGAATATACATTATCATTCGAATCCTGCATAGACAAACTAGAATATGATACATTTACATGCATAAATTATACATACGAATGCTGCTTGACAAATCAAATGCACATGAAGTCTGCTTAACCAAATAAAATCAAACAGCACAAACATAAATATACCAGAATTTCTTTTTCTTCATATCTCATTCTGTGATGAAGCTTTAATAAAAGCAAAACATGATAGATTTATAAATGTTTCCTATTTGTTCTTTATTCTATTATATATATATATATATATATATATATATATATATATATATAAAGAAAGAACAGTAAGATATAAAATCCGGTGTTCTTATAGATATTTTTATTTTTACAAAATAGTGCTCAATGTAAATTTACAGAGCATTAATATTATAAATTAATTGATTTAAAATATGGTTTTTTTTCGCTACACAGTTCCAACCATGTTTCAAAAATAGAAGCTAAAACCCCAAATTTAATTTTGCAATTAAATTAAAAGCATTAGTTCCATTTCATCTTCAAGCGAATTTTGGAGTAACTTTTAAAATTACGGGTTTTAAAAGACACAGCTAAAATCACGTTTCCATGGTTACAGAATATTTTACTTAAATTGAACAAGGGATGTTTAGATTTTCCTTATGTCAGTATCATTGTATCAGTTATTAGCTACAATTTGGTAAGGGGTAGGGATGTATTTTACAATGAAACCTGACATCAGTTGAATGGATGTCGTCTGAATGTTTTTTTTAAAAATTGTTAACGGTAAAAAAATTTCAGCGTCATTTTTTAAATTTAAAGATTTTCATTTTTTTTTTTTTTTTTTCTAATACTTTTTATTTAACTATGATTTGAAATATTCTCCTTTTTAATTTTTATTTTACTATATTTTTTTAAGAACAGTTAAATGTATTAGAATCCATTATATTATGTAGGATTATTTTAACATCAAGTTTATGTATATGAGGTACATTTTTTTTTTTTTTTTTTAAATTTATGACTATGACGGCAAAAATGGTTACTTAATTTCACTGATTTAGTAAACTTTTATTTTATATATAAACCTAGTATTATAATGTTTCTCATGTAAGTACTAAGGACATGGGTCATTCAAAAGCTTACATCTTATGGCATTTCATATTAATTTTATTTTACTATAGGTGTTTTTTTTTTTTTATTTGGATTCTTTTTAGTGCGTGTAGTATTATTTAAAAGAAATTTAGGTTAGAATTCATTCAATTTAACTACAATTTTAATTACAATTTCAGAATTACAACTTTAAAATTTTAAAATATTTTCATTGTTTAGTTTTAATAGACTATATTACTTTATAACAGAAGGAAAATTACTCATAGTAAGTAAAATTATTTTTCCATATCAAAGTATATGTAAATTACAATTTTTTTTTTTTTTTTTTTTTTTTTGTTTTCAGTTTTCAATTTCTAAGTAGCATAGTAAAAATTTGTTTTCATGTCTACATTTTCAGATGTGTTTTGATCATTTATTTAGTAGTTTATTTTGGTCTGGGAAAGTAATTATAGCTATTTTTTTTTTTACTCCAGGCAGAATTTACAGTTTTGGGATTGATTGTTGTAGGCTGATGTCCTTTTCCTTATTTACCATGATATTTTTGGTTTGATTTGTTTTTAATTTTACAGATATGTTTACAATGTATTGTGCTGTTCATCTATTTACTATTTGTAAAGGATGTTTTGTATGTGTAGTTTCTTTGTTTTCAGGGTCCTTCAGTTACTCCAATGTACATTTTTTCTTTGTTATTTGCTGTTTTTACAGTGGCTTGGTATATTACATTGTTCTGCAAGCAATTGCTGTTTAAGGGACATTTGTTCTTTATTCTGCAGTTTCACGTGTTTAACTTGTTAATGTGCTTTGTTGATTGTTTTCCTGTTGTGCCTTTTTAATATTTGCATCATGTTCTCAGTGCAACTGTAGCTGATTTTTACTGTGTTTTTGTTGAATATCTTGTGGAGAGTGCTTGATGTGGGGAAGTGTTTATGTATGACATATATATGTATGACATGTATAGCTTGCTGTGCTACAAAAATTATGGCAATATTTGTTATTCTTCATTTTTAATGTTCAGTATTTCCTCAGAATTAAACTAAACAAATAACATTCTACTTACCATTGAATAATTATGGGGTTTTATTTATAAAATAGGATGTGTAGGTGCTGTAATGGTAACTAACTCAAAGTGAGAAACCTATGTGCCAAGATCAAATTCTTGTCACATTTGTTAGATTCACTTTTGTACAAATACTATTAGGAAAGATATGAATCTCCTCTGCTAAGGGTTAAATAGTAGGCTACCAGTCTAGGAGTAGAAAACACTCTGATTTAACAGCTGTATATAACCCTGACAAGGCACATATTATGCATCTAATGAAAGGATTGTGGAGTTCACAATGGAACTATGATTACAATTGTCATTCTGATGGATGGATTTATCATGCTTAACATAAAATTCTATTCCTGGTATTTCATGAAAAGATTTCACTACATAGAAAAGGCAATTCTCCAAACCCTATGTAATTGCTTTTCTGGTGACATAGATAAATTCTACATACAAAAAAGTGTATATGTATAAAATATGGGATTACAATACATAAATTTTTATATATCAAGAACAGTTTTGGAGAAAAGATGTATAACAAAGTGGAAAAAGTTTTTGTGTGACACGTTTCATCCCTTAGGACTTCATTGGATTAAGTTTGTTTATGTTGATACAACTACACATGTGCATGAATGAGAGATACTGTGAATTTTAAATTTAGGTATGTTTTGGGTCTATAATCTAGCCAAATTCATTTAGATTCTTTTTGTTTCTATCATCTTTGTTATTAAATATCCTACATTATGATAACAGTAGATCTTCCAAGAATGGTGAAATCTTGTAAGACACTGAACACAAATTTACTGGGGATGAACTAGCGATTAAAGCACTTTCTAAATATTTTCATCTTAGCAAATTATTTTCTCTTTTAATTAGAGTAGCATTTTTATGTTAAAATTGTGGTCAGTCTCGTTATGGTGAGCAATAAATTAATTTAAAATATTGTTTTTTAAAATGGATCTTTTGTGCTCATATAATCTTTTATTTAAACTTCTTAAGGTTTCTACAATGTATTCTTTCTGGCAATTTTTGTATAACATATACACATATTGTGTTTTGTAGTTGTGGATTCACTATATGAGTTTTAACATAGTTCATTGAACTGACATCTGATATTATGAGTTGCATAAATAATTGGCGTCTGATATTATGAGTTGCATAAATAATTGGCGTCTGATATTATGAGTTGTATAAGTAATTGGCATATGAGTTGTATAAGTAATTATGCAGACCATTTACCTCCTTTTTCCATGTTGATTGTAAAACTTGTCATTGTCTTTCTTTCTTTTTTACTTGCTAGGTAGATAATGATTTTCATTTTTTTTTTACTTTGGTTCACCCAATACAAGGCCCAAAAGCCACTCAAGGTAGAGAATTACTGAATGATTGTTGTAATGGAGGGGGAAGAAGGAAACAGGAAGTGCATATTATGAGGATATGTAGGATAGATATTGTTGCCCCTGGACTTGAAGAGGTTAAGATGATGTTTAAAGAGATGATAATTTGGAGTGTACACTCCTCAAAAATCTGATGCTCTCAGATGAGCAGTTTTTCACACAGTATGATGATCATTTTTTTTCCTTTCTAGTTAAAATGGTTGAAGAATAGATTTGAAAAAGAAGAAGAACTTGGCAGCACAGTGGATGCCCTTCAAAGTGATGGTATGACATTTGAAAAGTATATGAAAGCACATTTATGGACAAAAAGTGAGTAGCTATTTGATTAGTTCTATTAATCTAGAATTCTGAATACATTTCCACTCACATACTGGATTGTGGTGTGCTGAACAGAATGAGCAGAAAAGGTCTAAATCTGGATTTCTGATTATTAAATATTTACAGACAAATACCAACATTATAACACTGATGTTTCTAGAACAAAATTACTTTAATCTGATGATTTCAGACTTCATTTAAATGGTTGTTAACAAAAGAAAGAATCCAACATGCAAACATACAAATTGGAGATACCAAAATCAAACAAGTACAAAAATTTAGTGTTTTAACAGAGGATGGAAAGTGTGATACTGGAATCAAAAGGCACATTCGGATGGCCAAAGATGCATTCTTAAAGCTGAGCTGGGTATTAAGAAACAAAAAATTTGTTAAAAACAAAAAAAAAGAGTACTGAACTGATACAGTGAATACTGGACAATCTCTTCAAAGATGTAGAAGATACTTGAAGCAACAGAAATGTGGTTTGATAAAAGGATGAAGATATCATGGACTGAACATGTGAGCAATGATGAAGTTTTAGAGAAATTAAAACAAAAAAGAAACTTATATTTAACATCATGAAGAGACAGTTGAAATTTATAGGACACATAATGATGGAAGAGGGTTTGGCAAATCTGATACTCACAGGATAGATTGAAGGAGGAACAGAGGAAAACAATGCATAACCTACTTAGTAAGCTTCAGTAAATGGATGGCAGAACAGGGTTTAAGAGAAAAAAAGATTTATTAAGAGCTATGAAGGACATTAAATTGTGGAGAGCCGTGATCACCTATGTCCTGAAGGGACACAGGAGAATTTTTTTGTAAAGTTTAACATATTTATAATCTCACTTAAGTATTATAAATTTTATAAGTAGAATATAGAATTACATTAAACATTTTTTTAGTAATGTACTAAGCAAGATGAGAGGAAAAGTTGGCTTTGTCTAGATCTTCTACATGCTGTGTCCCTTCAGGATGTTGGCAGTCATGTCTCTCCACAATTTCCTGTCCTTTGTAGCTCTTAATAACTTTGTCTTTTTGTTATTTCTCCCAAACCCTGCTCTACCATCCATTCACTCAAGCTCACAAAGTAGGTTGTGCATTTCCTCTGACCCTCTAACCTTCAATCTGTTCTGTGAGTATCAAATTTTCCAAGCCTTCTTTCCCTATTATGTGCCCTAGAAATTTCAACTGTCTCTTCTTGATGTTAAGCATAAGTGTCCTTTTTGTTGCCATTGTCTCTCAAACTTTGTCGTTGTTCACATGTTCAGTCCATGGTATTCACAGCATCCTTGTGCAGAACCACATTTCTGTTGCTTCAAATCTCAAATATACATGCACTGAGGTCAACAACGAGAGGTGGCAATCTGTTTCATCCATGAAAGCAATCTTTAGGCCATGTTTATTTACATAAGCTCTATCCTTGATTTTGAGCAATCTTATTGATAAATATAGCATACCTTAAAACTATTTTTAATATAAAATCTCTATCTATATATATATATATATATATATATATAAAGAAAGAACAGTAAGATATATAATCCGGTGTTCTTATAGATATTTTTATTTTTACAAAATCGTGCTCAATGTAAATTTACAGAGCATTAATATTATAAATTGATTTATTTAAAATATGTTTTGTTTTTCTTTGCTACACAGTTCTAACCATGTTTCAAAAATAGAAGCTAAAAGCTACGAATTTAATTTTGTAATTAAATTAAAAACATTAGTCCCATTTCATCCTCAAGCAAATTTTGGAGTAACTTTTAAAATTACTGGGTTTTAAAGACACAGCTAAAATCATAATTCACGTTTCCAAGGTTACAGATAAATCTACTTCAACTGGACAAGGGGTGTCTGGGTGTTCATTATGTCTGTATTATTGTATCCGTTTTTTAGTTATGTTTTGGTAATGGGTAGGGATGTATTTTTCAATGAAATCTGACATCCGTTGAATGCATGTCGTCTGGATTTTTTTTTAAATTTATTGTTAACGGCAAAAAATTCTTACGGCATATTTTCCTATTTGTAAATTTAAAGATTTTTGAGGGTGTTTAGGTTAGAATATGTTTTATTTAACTACGATTTGAAATATTTTCATTTCTAATTTTTGTTATACTATATTTTTTAAGAACAATTAAATGTATTAGAATCCCTTATAGTATGTAGAATTATTTTTACATCAAGTATAAGTATGTATATTAGGTTACAAAATTTTTTTTTTTTTTGTATTTAAATATTATTTAAGTAAAATTTATGACAATGACAGCAAAAATAGTTACTTAATTTCACTGATTTAGTAAACTTTTATTTTTTATATAAACCTAGTAATATATTGTTTCTCATGTAAGTACAAAGGACATGTCATTCAAAAGCTTACATCTTCTGGCATTTCATATTAATTTTATTTTACTGTAGGTGTTTTATTGGATTCTTTTAAGTGCGTGTAGTACTAAGTAAAAGAAGTTTAGGTTAGAATTCATTTTATTTAACTACAATTTTAATTACAACTTTAAAATATTTTCATTGTTAGTTTTAATAGACTATATTACTTTATAATAGAAGGAAATGTATTAGAATTACTTATAGTAAGTAAAATTATTTTTCCATATCAAGTATATGTATATTACGATTTTTAAACTTTTATATTTAAATATTATTTAAGTAATATTTATGGCACTTACTGCAAAAATAGCTAATTCATTTCTCTGATTTAGTAAACTTTATTTATTTATGTTTTTTTTTTTTTTTTTTTATATATATAAACTTAGTAATAAAGTTTCATATGTATGTACATAGGACATGGGTCATTCAATGGCCTACATCATCTAGCTTTTCGTTATAATTTCATTTTTTAGTAGGTGTTTTATTGGATTCATTTAAGTGCTGGTAGTACTTTTTGAGAGGTGTTTAGGTTAGAATATATTTTCTTTAACTACAATTTTAAAAGATGTTTAGGTCAGAATTCATTTTAACTACAATTTTAAATACAACTTTAAAATATTTTCAGTTATTTTAATAGACTTTTTTTTTTTTTTTTTTCCTTCTAAAGAAAAAACAAGTAAATGTAATAGAATTACTTACAGTATATAAAATTATTTTTCATGTTAAACATAAGTATGTATATTACCTGATCGCACCTTTTTAAATTTATTTTTATTTTTAAATATTATTCAAGGAAAATTTTTGACAATGATGGCATAAAATAGCTATTTCATTTCTCTGATTTAGTAAATTTTTATTTTTTATAAACTTAGTAATATATAGTTTCTCATGTATACACTAAGGACATGGGTCATTTAATGACCTACATATTCTAGCTTTTCTTATTAACTTCCATTTTACTGTAGGTGTTTTATTTGATTCTTTTAGATGCCAGAAGTATTTTGAGAGAGATGTTTGATTTTTATATTTATTTATCCTAAATGAAGTTTGATGTTGGTTGAATCTTTTTTTGAACTCATGGCTAGTGCACCCTATATATATTTTTATGTTTTCAGGACTTTCAATCGAAGAGATATTGCATTGGTATACTAATGATTCAGTGTGACATTTATTTTGTAGAGGGCAATTATGAGGGTTTCTACAGTTACATAGTTTTTGTTTATTTTCATCAGTTTTTATCTTTATTTTTCCATTGTCTAAATTTTTTTGGTTTTGGTAATTTAATTACAAAATTAAATTCGTAGCTTTTAGCTTCCATTTTTGAAACATGGTTAGAACTGTTTAGCGAAAAAAAATATATTTTAAATAAATCAATTTATATATATATATAGAGAGAGAGAGAGAGAGAGAGAGAGAGACACACACACACACATTATCCCAAAGGTCCTAAAAATTCTCTGAATTTTATCTGCATACCTTTTCAATATCTTTTGGTTTTTTTTTTATTTTTGTGATCTTTTATAGTTCTGAAATATCCGCAGAAAGCTGTTTTGATTGATATAAACTTAAACTCAATAGAGAAACTTAACATCAATGTTTTATTGCTATTTTTATTAACAGAGACTTACCTTTTAGTAGAAGCTGCTGTTCGGAGTATGTTTGGCTATTCCCCACATGAAATGTCCCTGCTCTATTTCATCATGTACATAGATGCTGCAGGTGGTTTGGACACCTTCTTCCAGCCCTCCAAGTACAGTGGAAAGGAATCACGCTTAAAGGTAGGGACCTTTAAAGAGACCATTTCAACTAAATGATTTCTGAAAAAGAATAGATATAAATAGTTATACACTGATTTACTCAAACTGGCATCCTCATCTTGGTTGTTATAGTCATAATATTTCTGCTATTATAACTGCTAGCCTTCATCAGGTGCCTGTTGTATTTTGGAAATTTAGAACCAAAACATTTCTCGTATAATGTTATGCTAGTAACGTCTGATAATAATACAAGACTAAATTTTTATACATAAAATAGTTGTGTTCACTTCTAGGTTCTGTCAAATTAACATAAGCTAAACCAAGGTATATGGTTTCATGCCTTTCTTCAAACATTTGATCTTTTCATGATGTGAGTGATTCCTCCTTCTCCCCTAGTAGGTTGAGCATTTATATAAAGTCCTGTTATCTGGTTGTCTTGTGTGTATACATCCTAAATTCAGCTAGGGCCATTTCCTTCTTGGTATGCACCTTGACATTCTTTGAGGCTTGATTCAGCACTTGGTCTCTTTGAGGTCAACATCTAGATGAACTCTTGAGACTCCTAAGTATTTTGACTTTGAGGTGATAACAAGTACAAAATTTACTATGGGATCTCTTCGGGTAAACCCAGTATGTATCGTCACAGATCAAAGGCTCCTGATAGACATTAAATTTGATTTGAGCTTCTGGTATTTTCTGGCATTAATCACAGGTTGAAAATACAATTCCTGAATCATTAGAGTTAGACTGTTCTTATTCTATCTCCTATTTATCCTCGTTGCACTGAATCATAGTATATAAATTTCACTGCTTGATTGAATTTCTGATCTTCAGGTAATTGTATAGGCCAAACAAATATTTACATAGACTTGGCCATTGTCCTGTAGGACAACCAGGTAGTGGAATTTTGGAGCCTTAAACTGTATGTTGTTAATACAGGGTGTGTCCAACATTTTAAAGGCTGATGAAAATACCAAGGTAACTGCTATTAAAAAACTTATTTAAATTTATGTTTAAGCAAAGGGCTACAGTTTTTATTCATTTGGTTTTAAAAATGACATCCTCCAAATGGTGGCCTCTAGTTACCATACACTGTTGTAGATTTCTAAAGTTTTCCATCACCCAGAAGTTTGAACACTTTGAGGTTTTCTAATTTGCTTTCTTTTAAGTGCTGAACCTGTAGCCCTGAAATTGTCAACCCATAGAAGTATTGATTTTCTATCCAGAACAGCATCATTCCAACATAACATGAAATGAGTACAAAAAGCCCTGTGTTGCAATTACAGATTCACTAGTCTTAAAAAAAAACATTTCAAAAGTACTGGTTCAAGCCATGATGGTATCTGAAAAAAAATGGTAAGACATTAGCCAGATGAAAACACCATTGCCACTTGCTTACGTTCACTGGCAATACACAGGTGATAATGTCGGAGCTATTTCTGCCAGACCCTGAATATTATGACAATGAAGATGAGGTCACTAGTTCAAGTAAACTAGTGTATAATAATAGATCGGCCAGGATATAAGTGGGCATAGGCCTATGATTTTAAGGGAGTCTACTTACTTTGCTAGAGAGAGAGAAAGATTTCTTTGGTAACGATATGACATAAAATCTCATTTATAAGAATATTGTGTTATGAATAAACTATATAATTTTTTTTTTCTACATACAATGTGCAAAGACATGTGTGATACCCTGCCCTCTTCAGCTGCCAACAAGGGGATGTAACACAGTTTCAGTGGCTAAGGCAGTACTGCCACCCCTGGTACCACTAGAATCTTTTGTCACCAGACTGGGTATTGTTTTTTGTGTAGACATGTCAGTCTCTGCAATTTTTATGAAACTTGCAGTTTCATAAAAATTCAATGTTGTGTTAAAAGCGATTGCTTTTATCTACACAAAAATAATCAATACTCTGTCCAGTGGCAAAAGTGATATAAGAAAAAGTTATATGTTAGAATGATATAAATGTAATAAAGAAACTGAATAAATAACCACAGACAAGAGGATGAATGTAATAGATGAATAGATCAATCTTTAAAATGATTGATTGTTAATGGAGTTTAAATTAAGTAGTAGTCTTTTTTTCATTCTAACTTCATAGGTTTCTTTTTTCTTCTCTTCCACTTGATTTTCTCAGTAATCAAGCAACTGGCAGAAATGCTGAGTGGGGTTAAGATTGTCCTGGCAACAGGAAAGAACAAAAACTGATTAGAGAGAGAAAAAAAAAACCTTGTCTTTTATAGAGCTCTCCTGGGTGATCTTATTCCAGTCAACAGGAGTGATATCTCCATTAAAAGCTAAAGTCTCTAGCTGAGCAATAAATTTTCTTTTTAACCTTAGTTAAGTAACACAGAGAACAAGTTGGTGATTCTTTTTTTTTTTCATGTTCTAGTAAATACATTATGTAGAAATTGAAAGTCTAAATATTTTGAAATAGTTGGGATGTTTACAAATGGAGAGCCATCTTTGGTATACCTATTTGTCATTCTACAAAGTCTGAGTTCAATCAAGTGGTGTGCAGAGGTTTGGTTGGGGCCAACTCCTTGATTTTATGCCTCCAAGACTCAAGTAGGGGGGCCTTTAAGACCTAGTGCTGAGAAATGTGATAAAGGAAGGCATTTTAAATATGTAAAAACAGATAAAACATGAAATAAAAACTTTATTTTAAATTTCAAAAAACTAAATTTTTATTTCACTCTTTGATTATATGTTCCCCCTGATATGGATGCCCAGGAGCACTGCACCCTCTGAACACCCCCTTGAGCATGCTGCTAGTTCAATCCTTCCTCAAAACAGTTTTTTTCTACTTCATTTTCTGTCATTTTTTCTTTTTTGTTTCTGTGCTAAAATTATCTTTTTTTTGTTTGTTTGCTTTCTAGGGAGGTCTCCTTCAACTGTCCCAAAATTTATATGAAGTCATTGGAAACAAAAATGTCCGGTTCAATCAGCCAGTCACGCATATCATTCAGGTAAAGAAAAAGAAAATGTGCTAGATATTTTTGTTTTTTATTTTTAATAATTTATTTTTAATTCTTATTTTGAATGCAGATTGTTTGCAATGACAGAGTAACGTTATATTGTTTTTTGATTATTTAAAACAAAAAAGAAATTTATTTTTTTTTTTTTTTTTATAATTCGCTGAAGGCTCTTAAAGTTGACCTTTTAAGTTTAATGTCAAGTTTGTTTTTTTAATACTTTTAAGTTTAATTGACTACAAATAATATGTAAAAAAAGTTTAGATATGTTTTTTATATTTAAAAAAAAGTTAAAATTCTTAAAAAGCTATAAATTAATCAGGTTATTTATGAGTCTGTTTTAATTTATTTTTTATTTTATTTTTTTAAGTTAAAAACAAAATTTATTTACAGTTGTCCAAAGAGAAAGTAGTGGTAGTTACAGATCGACGTCTTCAGGTGACTTGTAACCGTGTAATCCTTGCTATTCCACCTCATCTTGCAGGTAAGTGATTTAAATGAAAGATCATAAGTACATCTATGCAGTTCTTTTTATTTTATAGGGAAATGCAGCAGTTAACAACATGGAAAATGGAATTAGGAATCTGAGTTCAAATTTTAACCAAGGTTTTTTTATGTTCACTTTCCACTATAGCCTTTGGAAAAATTAGATTTTGTTACTGACATGCCACAATGGTCACTAGAAAAGAGTTTGAGTGAATCCTAGAGCATACCACTAACCCTTGTAGGGATGCAAAGTGTGATTATTACCCTTTGGTTAAGATGGATTCCCGAGGGTCACATGACGGCTGGTGAGTGACATCAGTTTGTAAAGTGACAAATGCCAACTGCTATGTAGACAACAGGGAAACAAGACATGATTGCCCGCAGAAGTTAAGTAAGATAGTTTTCCCTGCTTTCTTAACTAGGCAGTAGCAGCAAAAAAATTCTTACCCGTTATTGCATCAATCCCAATGAAAAGGCCAAAACCATAGTTACCTAATGACTTGATGTGGATCAAGCTTGTAACCATTATGACATGGAAAGTAAATACAGATTTATTTCGATTCTGTGTATCATATTGTTATATAGATGTGTACAATAAAGCAAAAAAGGAAAGAGAAGGAAAGACTTGACAGATAACAGTTGTATTATTTGCTAGTCAAACACGGACTTGGAACTACAGTGAGTGGCAGACATGCACACAAATGGTCACCAGAAGAACTGGCTGAATGTAGGATTTGGAATATTTATGTTTTTGGAGGGTTCACAGAAACATCCACAGTGTCAGTCTGCAATGTCTTCTGATTGGCCCCAAAAGCTTAGTCTTTGGTCACATGACGTGTTCACCACTGTCTGTACAGCAGTCAGTTGGCAACCTTTTATTATGGCCTACCAATTGTACTATTTTTAGCCATGATGAAAAGGGTTATGACATTTATAAGATTTGAATTTTATTTAGGATGTAACAATGCCAAAAGATGAAACAAATATTTTAAATGGATTAGCTACAATTTTAAAATATTCTTTGAAGATATGTAAATAGTTTGTGTTCAAGACCTAAATTATAATGATGCATAGAAGTATTAGCATGAATTCCGCTAGTTTTTATTATTATCTATGAGAAAAAGTTTTTCAGTTTGATTTTCTTTTTTTTCTTAAATGGTTTTTCACTGTGTATTTCCACACATAATTGTTCCTACCCCTTTCAAAAACAATATTGGGAACTTTTGAACACATGTAATGATTCAGAGAAAGATTCAAGGAACTTTAAGATCTAAAGAGTTTGAGATACAAACTGCTTACATTATCTCCTGCTAGCAAAACAATTCCCCCCAAAATACTACTTTGAATGCATGATACTTGAGAAACAATTAAAGTGGTTTTGTGTGAAACAATTGAACAGCAGTTAAAATAACATCTCACTTCAGACTACCTTTCAAAATAGCTTTTCACTCGTTTTAATCTTTTACTGATCATAAAAAATGTCATGACAGCTGAAGGTATAAATATGAATATGAAACATGATAGGTATATCCAAACACATGGTAGAGTATGTTTTGTTTTGGGAGTTATATTTATAAAAATGTTCCCTCCTGGGAAAAAAAAATGTTCTGATATGAAGATTGTTTTGAGAAATGTAGAAGGTTCTTGTGGACAAATCATGACTGCTAATGTTGCTTTACAGACAGCTAGAACAAGAACAAGAAAAGGCATTGACTAGAAGAAAAAGTATAGAATACAAGCAACAGGAACATTAATTGGAAATGATTGCACAGGAATCAATTCATGACGGTCTTTGTTTTTGGAAGAAGGTGCAGAAAAGTAAAATTTCTAATGTATTCTATTTCCGAATGCTAGTTATGCAAAAGTTGTGCACACACATACTTGCATACTCATGAGGGTTGGTCCAGCATAATGTCTCATATTTTATTATGTTGGCTAACAACATCAGAGATAGATATTGGTGGTATAAGAATAAATATTAAAATATCTTGCCAATAACCCCTCATCTATTTTTCTTTATTAAAGATAAGCAGTCTGGCAAAAATAGCATCTAACATGTAAGTGCATATAAAACAGAAGTGTATCATTGAAAATCTCCATGCAAGAAACATTACATCTATCGGTATTCATAGGAACTTGCTGAACACTTAGAGACCAAACAGTGAATGTGAGCACAGTTAGGCAATGTGTTTCAGTGAAGTGGATTACCTTAGCTGGTTCTAATTTTTACAAGTGCAGTATGCAGGCTCTTGTTTCTCAATGTCATTACTCTCTCACTCACCCAAATCCATGTAAACTTTGTGACCTGTCAGTTCAGAAGCACCTCCTACATATTAAGGTCTTCTGTTAGTATCAGTAGTGAGATCATATCCATTGTTAGCTTGTTTGGCTTGTTGTGTGACTTACATTACCTGGTATTCACCAACAGCATAACTCTTGTTGCAAACAAGAAAAATGGTGATGTGTAGCTGAAAACATATTCTATCCAACAGTGTACTTATACTCACCATACCTGTTGACATTTCCATTGATAGGAGGTATTGCATTTAGTATCTTTTCTCTCTCTCTCTCTCTCTCTCTCTGCCCGTATGTATGTACACATGCAACACCTTTGGAAAGTGTCTGAAAAAACAAACTACAAGATGACCCAAGCCTTGTGAGCAAAATTGGGTAGACAGAATTGTTCAAAAGCCATCAAATTCAAATCAAATATGGATCAGAATCCAACAGGATGATAAAATAAAGAAGAAATAGGAAACATATATCAATCTAACATGTTTCACTTTTATTAAAGTTCTGTCAGCGATTGAAAAACAACTGTTTTCTATTTGTTCCTTTATTTTATCATATATATATATATATATATATATATACACACACACACACACGAATAACATTTTCTGATTATTTACCTATTAACAGTCTGTTTCATGCAGTGCAATTTTCAAAAGTATTTAAAAGGAAGCACATTTATATTTACATAAGAAAAGGAAGATACAAGTCTTTTATATACATATATATAGTGTGTATTTAGGCAGCAAGAAATCATTTAAACCAGTTGTATAAGAATAAAATCAAATAGTAATGAGATAAAAGTGTTGTAACCTAGAGAAAGTTACTAAATAGAATAATCACATGAAGGTTGATAATGAACAACAATACTTAGGACACAAACAACACATAAGATTCGCCAGAGGCATGTAGAAGAAGTAGTCAACTGCTAGAAGTGAATCAGGTGAATTCCACAATGAATCTCCAACTGCAGAGCAACATACAGTATTTACTACTGTATTTATGTGAATGGGAACATACCCATTATTGTTCATAGGTATGCTACAACACAGTGATAATATTTTCATTCAAAATATTTGTCTATATAACCAGTAATGGGAGAGAGCAATGGTAGAAAGATTTATTCTCCCATTTATGTTTCTCCAGTTAGGGACATTATTATATTCGTGATATAATAACACCAATATTTTACTGATGGAAAGGAAAAAGAATGACAAATATGCTTTGTTCTCAGAGAGAATTTTATATCACTAAGACATACACAAAACTATATATACACATTTTCCAAGCAGGGAATGTCACATATATCTACAGAGAAAAGCAGAGTGTAAGGAGAAATAAAAAGGAAGGGTCTTACATATCATATGGCGATACTCCTGGACCTGGAGAAGACATTTTTAAGACTCCATATTCAAATGGGACAGATTCATCTGTCTCAGGTGAGAACATATTCCATGAGCAGGAAACAGCAAGTCTTGGGTTTTTTCCCAAATTGAGGACTGTGAGCTGGAGTTTCATTCTGTATCTGGGAAAAATGTATTTCCAAAGACTTGGCACTATAGACTTGTAAGCTACTAGGGAGGCAGATTTAGCCTCTGCCCAAGTCATGGGGGGCTCAGGCTAAAGAAAGCAACCTTACTGTTTGGTTGCTGTAAACAAACTGAATTTTGACTGCTGCTTTTCATCACTGTCTGGAGTGATGCCATGAAGTGGCTGTTAAGTGACCCACATGACTTAGCTCCACCAAAAGGAGATAAGCACCTTCTTACAAACCCATCACAGGTTCACACTCCTCCCTGGTCTTTTGAACATGAATAGAGGTTTATTCCTTGTTTTCTGTTTAGGATTGTGTTTCCAGTTCTTTCTAAACTCTACTTCAACTTTATACTTCTAACATCTCCACCTATTTACTATTTATTTATTTTTCCTCAATAGGACTAGATAGACTTACCTATTGTCCAGTTCACCATGCTCCCCATTTTTTGAACAGGAGTAGAGGTTTATCACTTGTTTGCTGTTTAAAATTGGGTTTCCAGTTCTTTCTAAAATGTTTTTAATTTTTTCACTTCCAGTAGCAGCATTATTACCTAGCTTGGAGCGAAATGAGTTTTTTTTTTTTAAAAAAAGGTAGAAATGCTTAAAAAATTAAAGTAAATCATTACAGTAGGGCAGGATGGAAAAAGTAAAATAATAATCTCAGTTCTATTTTAGTACAGGTTGAGCATCCTTTATCTGAAATTACAAAATCCCAAAACCTTCAAAATCTGAAAGTTTTTCAGGTGCTGACATGACTTGCCACAAATGGAAAATTTCAGAAAGCACCGGAAAGGTTCCTAGATGCTGTGCAGCTGTTGTAAGTAACCTCATCTGCCCTGGGTGGAGGTTCCCCAACCCAGCTATATAGTCTACATTGGCACCAGTTTTTTGTTAGCAATCATTACAGCAACACCTTCATTTGTGGATTACTTACCAGGTGTTTCATGTTCAGTAAAGGTATTATTCAAAATGTCAAAAAGTCCTGCATTTATATATTTTTTGTAAGTAGTGATAATGTTTCTTTGTACACGTACAAAAAATAGAAAGCATTATTTTCACGTGAAATCTTAATTTCATCACTTAAAAATCCATGTGAGCATTACATGACTAGCATCATTACCTGTATCTGTATGTACACAAAATTTATTAAATTTTATATAAAACTACTTTCAGGGTATATCTATAAGTTGTGTTATGAAATGTAAAGCGATATTGTGTTTATGCTTGGGTTCCATTCTCAAGCTGTCCTATTTTATAGATGCTATATACAAGTTAAGTAGCCTGTATTAAAAAAAAAAAACCTGAAATCCAAAGCACTGTAATAACTGCATTTGAATTCAGTGCATGTAATCAAACTTGTTCATTTAATTTATTGTTATTTCACAATCCTTTCTTATTTTTCCTGATTTTCTAGAGTTATAAATATTTCTAATAGAGGAAACATAGATAGGTATGGAAATGTTCACTTTTAACATGAAATAATCTACTGAATTTTAACACCCAAACTGTACATTATGCCTTGAAAGACCATAAATATGTATTATCTATTTCTGACATAATATTGATTGCTTTATGTTTTTTTTTTCAACCCTTTGCAACTTATTTGAAGCCAGAAAACATTTTTAGATTGTAAGAATTGTTTTTTGAGATAATGGTTTAGTGACACATGTCTTAACCCATATCTGGGAGGAGAAAAGGTGGATTAATACCTTTCCCAAGGGTATTTGTTAGTGAATATAATGAGCCCAATAGGAATTCAAACTCAGCTCTCTGATTAACAATTCTGAGCCATTATCCATTACACCACCCACACATCCAAACTTACAGCACATGATATTCCCAAGTGATCAATCATCTAGATCTAGGCTTGATTTTTGATTAAATTTGGTGATCATACAGGAACCAGTGTTTCAATGTGATATGGCCATAAACCTTGAACATAATAGGGCTATATATATATATATATATATATATATATATATATATATATATATATATATATAAAAGTGGAAAATTTTTTCATGTGACATATTTCATCCTAAATTTGTTATTTTGGTGGGACTACACATGCATGAACAAAAACTTTTTCCCCACTTATATATATGGTAGACTCACATGTTGCAGACGACAAATGAAAGCTCACTAACATAAGGAGGTGCTCATTTTGCTTGGGTGTTGAGGATCAATTGCCATATTTCTCTGAGTGGACAACAAGACCTGCTTTACTGCATGCGACAAAACCACAGTGGCAGGTAAGGCTATCATTGAGAGGAGGAGATCATGTTGCCAACTTTCTTTAATATTTGCACACAGTTGATCCCAATGTTCAAATCTGCCTCACTCAGATATGAAAAGCAGCACAGGTGCTAGTTCCTTCACCCTGATGCTTTGTTATCCCAGGAAAAAAAGGGGATGCTGTGTGTGTGTGTGTGTGTATATATATATATATATATATATATATATATATATATATAATTTCACTGTCTGTAGTATTTAATCTCATAATATATATATATATATATATATATAATATGAGATTAAATGCTACAGACAGTGAAATTATACTCCATTTGTTCTTATCTCATACCTGGAGATATATATATATATATATATATATATATATATATATATATATATATATATATATATATGATGTCTATTATATCTATTATATTGTAATATGCAAAATATGTCATACTATGTTTTAAGTTTTATTTACTATTAGTTGATGAAAGACCACTTAAATTTAAAAGTGTCTCTTGGGATATATCACAATGACAAAAATATATTCCTAATTAAAAAAAAAAAAAAGACATCATCACTCCTACCATGAGAATCAGGTTTGAATCTCAACATGGTCAGTTTTATCTAAGAAGTAACTTCTTGATATCTTCCTGGGGAGACAATCCCAGCATGCAGCAGTGTTGGAAAGTGACTGAAAAGCATACCAAGGGTTGGCCCAAGCTTTATGAATTAAATTGGGTAGGTGAAACTGTCTGAAAGCCTTCAGTGGTTGTACTAACATTAAGTCACAAGTCATTATGACTGAGGGTTTGAGTGTACTCACTTTATTCACCTACTGATCATGCACTTTCTCCCAGAAAAGTAACTAAAGTCTGCTCAGCATAGTTGCAGTATAATATGCAGGTTAGTTCTGTGAGTGTTGAAGAAACACATGCCAGCCACCCAAGCAGATAACATAATTGCCAGCTATTAAAAAAAAAAAAATTTAATAATTTAGCAAAGAATGTTTAGAAAAAGCTATTCTTTGATAATTCAGCCATACTTTATATATATCAATTTCTTTTTTTTTCTTTTTTGTGGCAAGAGAGATAATGGCTCCACATGACTATCTCTATGACATTCAAATAATTTTTTCTTATTCCTTTGTTAGCATTTCTCTGTTTATTATTCCTAGCAAGTCATTTTTAATTTGTTTTTAATTCTTATTATGTTTTATATTTTTATGTTTGTATATAAATTTTGTATTGTACATTTTATATAAAATCTCTTTACACCATTCTATTTCAGTGTTAATTCAGCCAACTGGATCTACTAATGCTAGCAATGAATTGTTGAGTGGAATATTTCTTTTCTTTTGCTAAACCTTGCAAGGCTGTATATAAAATGCAGAGTGATTTTAAAGGGTTTTTAAGGGTGCAGAAAGGCGTTTTATATGACTATAAATACAGTATGTTGTTACACATTAATTCTGTCAAGAAATACATATTTTTCTTGAAATGAGTTTATTTATTAGTCTTCGATGATCTACAAACAATGCCTAAATTTTAAGTGGTTGGTGTTAATTCTAATTTGTACCTTTTTATTTTTTTTATGATATTGATATTTCTTAAGCTTAAGACAACAGAAGACTAAATGGTGTAGGAAGATTGTGTTGCATCATTGTTCAAAATAGAGTAGGGTCACCTATCTTGCAAAACCGGCAATCAAAATACTGGCATTTATGTCTGGCATAAGAGGAGAATAGCCAACTATGGCAGCCAGTAGTGTGGATGTTAGCAAGATTTGTAGATTTTGGTATATGTTTCAGGTGAAGGTGCATGTTCAATATATAAACAAAGAATACAGAAGCATACAAAAAAAAAAAAACTTGAGTTTCAGTTACGAATGTTTATTTCTTTTGTGTTGACTGTATTGAAACAAAGTTAAATGTCTCTTGTGTATGTCTGTTTTCCTTTTTGGTCCAGAAATAATTTATGGGAAATAAGGATAAGAATGGGTAAAGATGGCCAAGCTCAAGTCAGCCTCACACTGATATGGGATGGCTAAATCTTTACTTCATGAGTAGGGCTGGAGAAAACATGGCCGAACAATCTTGTTGGAAAATTGAAAGAGAAAGATTCCGAAAATGGGGGGGTATAAAATCACACATGACCAGATACCCTTTCCAGTTTCTTTATAACTTGCATCATGGGAAAATGAATTTATTTATTTTTTTATTCTTTACTATTATTTTATTTATTGGTTTTATTTAATTTTTCCCACAGTAGGCACCCTCCACCAAAATTGTTGCTATTATATTTATCTGTGTAAACATTTTTTGTTGATTAAATATTTTTCTATCATTTCGAAAGGTGCAATTAAATTCAATCCTGAATTACCATCGACAAAAATGACATTGTTGAGAAACGTCCCATTGGCTTTTATTATCAAATTCTGCTTTACATATGAAGAGGTAAGTGTAGCAAAACTATTTGTTTCAATGTAGTGTGGACATAACCAAATGTTATTTGATAAGGATCCAATTAATACAATTGTAAAAAGTATTACATGCATACAAATGTTCTCATGCTTTATTGAAAACTACAGACTTCAGATACATAAGTCATTTTGTTTTTAACTAATAAAAATTTATCAAAAAATATATTGCTAATTTTTTTTGAGTTTTGGGTTTTATTATGCAATTTTTCTATTTTTTATTTATAAATAAATCCAAAAGATATAAGCCATAGAAATATATTTGATTAAAACAATATCCCAGAAAACTGAATAAATTATTTTACATGTTTGCTGTTTATCTGGTAAAAGCCACATTATATAATCATTTTTTTTTTTTTAAGAGTTTCACCCCAAGCCACTACCACGCAAGGGGTTACAGAGAGTTGGAGCTAGAGCAAATAGGAGTGATAGAGGAAAAGATGAAGAGAAGGATAGGGGATAGATCAGGGCATCTGGAGACGTCAGTTGACATTACATTTGAATAGTTGGAGATTATGCCTATCAGGGAAACAGGAAGAGGGGCGGGAGTTCCACAGGCAAGAGGTGCGAGACATGAAGCTATTGGAGTAGAAGAGACAGCTACATTTAACAGTTTCGACAGCGAAAGGGTGTGAGTGAGATGCCAGCCTAGTAGAACGCTTAAATTCATGAAGTCTGGGAACCAGTGAAAGCAGTTCCTCGGAGCAGTTACCGTGAAAGTATTTGTAAAAAAGACAGAGGGAGGCGACTGCACATCTGTGAGAGAGCAACTGCAGATGAGATGCCAGATCAGGGCTAATTATATTGCATATACACCTGGATCTTATTAAGAACATTGAGTCAAACATAAGGGGCACCAGACCATATATGGCAACAATACTCCATGCAAGGGCGAATGGTTGATTTGTAGATTTGAAGGATCAACTCCAGCGAGAAAAATTTCCTGGTGCAGCACAGGGAGTCAATTTTCCTTGCAGTGGATGAAGCTATTGACTCTATGTATTTGTTCCATCTTAGGTCAGCAATCAATGTGAGGCCGAGTAGTCGCAAAGAGAAATTCTCAAAGTTGAGCATCAGACATTCTAATGGGGGGCAGGGATGGTTCTGTGATTAGTAATAGAGAGCAGTTTTGTTTTTGAGGCATTAAAGTTAACCAGCCAGTTACTGCCCCAGTTCACAACCGATTGGAGGTTCTTTTTTAGACGAACGGCCAGGTTAATTTTGCCAACAACACTAGATTTGTTTTTGAGACAGGAGTAAATTGTAGTGTCATCCGCATAGATGCCTACTTGGGAATCTATGATGTCAGGAAGATCATTGATGAAGATAAGGAACAGAGTAGGGCCTAGGATGGAACCTTGGGGAACACCTGCGTTCGTGAGATAGGAGCTGGGGGGAGAATCTGTTGAGAACAACCTTCAGTACACGGTTTGACAGGAATGATTGTATTAAGTCAAACAATCGACCTGAAATTCCATAACCTTGAAGCTTGCAAAGAAGGCCAGCATGCCAAACCCTATCATTTGCTTTGGAGATATCAAGAGCCACGGCACGAGCTTCTTCGTTATTATGAAGAGCTTGGTAAACAATTTCACTGATGGCCGTAAGCACATCAGCTGTAGAATGGGCGAAGCAGAAACCATATTGCTTGTCGGAGAGCAGATCCCCACATGGCTAGTGGTGGAGCCAGGATACCAGCCATTGTCCTGAAGAAATGTGCGCCCGAACTGGCCCCTGCCCTCTCCAAATTATATAACTACTGCCTCAATGAATCTTGTTTTCCAGACTGTTGGAAGTCCTCATCCATTATTCTTGTCTTTAAGAACTCTGGTGACCCTTCTGACTCTTCTAATTACTGTCTTATCAGTCTCCTACATGTCTTCAGCAAAGTCTTCGAAGCTTTAATCAATGCCGAAGTGGTTAAGCACCTTGCAGTGTGGGGGTCTAAATTAGAGATAATGCCCAATATCGATGACGGGGTTATGTGCAGCTCGCTCAGTAGAGCCTCAGTTCTAAGGAGGAAATCAGATGTGGATACACCAGAAGAGTTGAGTGTTGAATTGAATGAGAATTTCCAAGCAAAGCATTCAACCTTGTTGGCAGAAGAGGTCAGAACCTCAAACTGGTTGAACAAATGAGGTATAGAGGGTTTGCTATTGTTAAGTACGCTCTTGCAGAGACACCAATAATCCTTGGAGCCGAATTTGCAAGATGTGATACGTTCTTTCATTCGAGCAGCAAATAGTGACTTTGCTTCATTGAGGTCACGCTTACCCTCATTATGGGCAGAGACAAAGAGAATCTATTGCAGTCAGACATGTTGCTACGATATAGGTGGAAGAAATGGTTCCTATGGGCAATGGCAACTGAGCAAGCAGCCAAGAACCAAGGGGAGGAGCGCCATTTGACCTTATATTTCCTTGAGGGGATCCAGCTTTAACCCAGAAGGAGACCTCAGAAGCACATTCTTGAATGGGGAGCATAAGACAGGGGACACTGCGGAGGAAATCACGGAATGAATCCCAGTCTGCTCGTTGATAGCAGAACGAGGTTTTAGTGGTAGGAGGTTCATTGCGGGGGGGGGGGTGAAGGAGATGTTGATAGACACTACAGCATGATCAGAATTGCCAAGAGGGCAGAGCTGCATGGCGCTACAGGACTCTGGGATGGAGGTAAAACACAGAATTTGAGAGTCTTTTCTAAGGAGGGGAAGGTAGCCAGAGATTGAGAGGTCAGAGGAGGGGATAGACAAATCAAGGTTGGTTTCACACAAAGCCAGTATATCCAGGCAGTTCACAATGAGGAAAGAGTCCACACTGCAGAAAATTGGTTCTAATGCCATGGATGTTGGAAAATGAAATGTTAAAGGGTTTAAGTGATTTTTTTTTTTTTTTAGGTGCTAGTTTAGGTTTTCTATTTGGATTGTCATTAATTATTATTATACAAAACCTTTATATACACTTACATAGGTCACTTTACAATTTAAAAAAATAACAAAAATCATATTCAGTTAGTTACTTATGGAACAACCTATATTCATTAGGTCAGATTTTATTATGCAAGCCAGTGTTTTCACAAGAGAATTTGTATTAATTGGTAAAAAATTTCAGGATATATTTATCATGTGACTTTCAGTTTATAATATTTATCCTTATTAAAACTATTGACAATAATTTTTGGAAGGCTTTGTCAGATTTTATTATACAAACTAAGTACAATATAAATGTTTATAATTAAATCCAAAAAAATAAGAGGCCATAGAAACATTTGATTAACACAATTGAATAAATTCTTTTTACATGTTTATATAGGTTACTAGGCAAAATATTCTTCCTTTGTCTTTTATCATTTTGTGGAACTTTTTTCTTGTTATTTCTTTAACATTAATTACAACAGGGTTGATTACTACCCAGAGATATTCTTTGTTTGAAGACTGTTTTCCATTCTCATATACATTTTCTTTTAATGATAGGCCATAAGTTTTCTATTAGATTACAATATGGAGAAGCTGAGTGTAATTTCATTAATTTGGTTTCTTTAAAATCTTTTTTTTTGCAAAATGGGCAATAATAAGCTTAGCACAATGTATTGTGTAAGATTATATTATGCAAATTAATTTTATCCCAGATTTTCAGAATATATTTATATCAAAATGAGCAAGAGATTACATGTGTTTCAGCATATATTATTTACCCTTAATATATATATATATATATATATATATATATAGCTAATTTGTTTTGGGGTGTTTATTTCTTATCAATATTTATTATAAGGATTAACATTAGAAGTTGAAACACTCAAGATACATTGTTCATATAAATACAAGTATATCCTGTAAATTTTATCAACATTAGTTTATTAATTACCAATTTTATTGTAAAAACATTTACTTAATCTGATTGTGTGTGTGTGCGTGTGTGTGTATATATATATATATGTTTTGCAAGTATCTATTTAAAAAATGTTTATTTAATTTCAGTCATTTTGGATAACTGGAAAAAACCCAACTTCTAACTATGGTTTCCAGAGCATGATCCATGACCCAGAATGTGGTCCGATTGGTGTGGTATATGAAGCAACGTCTGCTAAAGGAAGCCCAGCTCTTATAGGTTTTGTGTCAGCGAGCCGTGGATTAGTGAGCAAAGAAACTGATGTAAATACAAAGAAAATTATTTATTACATACATTATATATGTAATAGTCTACCTATGATGTTAAAGAAAAAAAAAAAATGATGCCAATATTAAAGTTTTTGATATTTTCTAAATACAATGGAATTACAAAATTTCTGTTGATTTATCTGCAGGCTATAAATAATCTATGAACTAAAAAACAACCTAAGACAGGAATTGTGGCGTTTTATATGTCAAATTTGAAATAGCAGAAAATGTGATTTCTATGTCATAAGAGGAAGAGTCTAATACACAGAGAAGAGCAAATTACCCATCTCTATATAATGAACTCTTTTAGTAACATAGAGAAAATGTTAAACACAAAATATATATCTATGGATATGTGGCTAGCCTGTTAATTATAAAATTCAAGAAAATTTGAATTTTCCTAATTTTTCAGGTACTTTTGTTCACTTTACACTCTAAGATACATCTTTAGAGTTAGCAATAAATTAACGAAAATTCTTTCTAATATGAGAAATATGTATCAAAATTAGATTATTTTATATTAAAATTTTAATAAGACATGATGCAATGTCTTTTATACATCAGATGTAATATATCTTATAAAGACATAATACAAACTTTTAATGGTGTTGGCCAAAAAGTTTGTTCTCTATGTTTTAATCTAATTCAAAAAAAATTTTTTTTTTATTGTGACAGCTGTCTTGCACTTTTCTTAAAAAAAAAAAAAAAATACATGTGACTCAAATACATAAAAATTTATGGAGTAAGTATTTTGAATGGCCAAACATGTCAAAAATGGTTTGCAAAATTTTATGCTAGAGTTTTCTTGCTGAACATTCAAGTTGAGTGCAAGAAAATCAGTACATTACTTTAAAATATGCAGTGTTGCAATATGATGCAGGGGATAGCCAACATGTATAAATCAAGCACTGAAAAATCATTTCTACTGCCTTGGTTATACTAGTCACTTTGGTGTATAATCTCTACATAAATTAAAAAATAATGAATCTATTTCCCTATGGGATTTACTATTCAAATGTTTGTTTTTTAAACAAATTGTGATGAAAAGATAGATGTGGAATTTAAGGGATTGTATATGCAAAATAAAGCATCAAAGCCTGTACTAAAAATTGATCTTTGTCCAAAAGTGATGCTGTGTATGTGTTTGGATTGGAAGGGGCTCCTCTGCTATAAACTTCTGCAGAACCAAACAATTGATTTTAACTATTACTGTCCTCAATTAAACCAATTGATGAAACACATCCAGAATTAAGCAAAGGGCATAATGTTCTACCAGGATAATAGTGATTAGAAAAAAATTATTACCACTTGGCTGGGAAGTTTTCATTCGTTCATCATATTTACCAGATATTGAATTTTTGTATTACCATTTATTTTGGTTGATTCTTTGGAAGACTGTCAAAGCAATTAAATCAATTCTTTGCTGGAATAAATCAAAACTTCTGTGACAATAGATTCATAAAGTTGCCAGAAAAATAACAGAAGAAAGTGGAACAAAATGGTTGGTGTTCAGTAAAATGAATGCAGAAAATAAATGTCTTTTAGCTTTATTTAACAAACCAAATAAACTTTTTGGCCAGCCTAATATTAAAAAGAAACTCGGTCAAAATTTTTGATGATACTTAAAAGATTATTGTATATTCTCACTTCAGTCCGAGGATCGTAGAGATGTTCTGCTAAACTTGCTGCAAATCCACTTAGGTGAAAAGGTGCGTGAATACATTGAGTTTCAACAAAAAGATTGGTCTCAGGAAAGCTACAATGGTGGATGCTTTCTCAAATCTCTTGTGCCAGGGTCGACTCGCTTCTTCAGCCAAGATTTACGTGAACCCTTTGATAGGTGAGTATTGCCACCTCCTGCCCAGTACTTTATCTCTATGCAGATGCTATCTATAACATTGATTGTAGAAACAGAATCTGGGGCTAAAACAATTTTATTGTCAATAATAATAATTATGCTTATAAACAGTTAAGCACTAAGGGGTGTTCCAAAGTTTCTCTCTAAGCAATGTCAGCAAAAATAATATGATGGATATTATTGGAGACTTGATGCCATTTGATACACAGCAAGTGTCACCAGGTATCTTTAAACATATACCTTTATCTATCAAAAAGAGAATAAGCACAAATTCAGCAAATGAGAAGATTTTCTATGAACATATTAATTTCTATAATAAAGCTCTAAAAGATAGTGGCTACAAAAGCCCAAAGCTAATTTATATAAAAAAATGAAAATGGAAATCATAGAAAAAACAGAAGTAGAAAAATAATTTGGTATATACCCCATACAACAAAATGGTAAAGAACAAATTAGGACAAAAATTCCTTGCATTAATCATTAAATATTTTTCTAAAGATAGTAAACTCTACTATCAACAGTTCAATAAAATAGCCTAAAATTAAGTTACAGTTGTACTGAAAACTTAGCATTATGTTTCTTAATAATTTTTTCTAATATCTTGAATAAACACTTAGACCTAGACCAAAGAAATTTAGACAGTATAATAATAAAGAGATGAAGATAAACAAAAATTATGTAACTGCAGAAATCCTCATAACTGTCCTCTTAATAATAAATGTTGCACTGAATCATTATTATACCAATGCAATATCTCATCTATTGAGGATCCAGATAACCTAAAAGTCTACATAGGATGTACAAGACACAAGTTCAAAAAATGGTTTAACCAAAGTTCTTTTAGGATAAATGAATACTGAATTCAGACGTCCCTATCGAAATATTTCTCGAATTTAAAAGAAACCAATAAAACACCTACTGTGAATTGGAAATTAATAAGAAAAGCTAGAATATGTAGATCATTAAATGACCCATGTCTGTTGTGCATACATCAGAAACTATATATTACTAGGTTTATAAAAAATAAAAATTCACTTAATCAATGAAATAGCTATTCTCTGTGGACATTGTCAAAAAGTTTTCCTTAAGTAATGTTTAAAAAAAAATAAAAATTGATAAATGAAATATACATATTTATATTTGATTTTTAAATAATTTAAGTAATTCTATTACATTTATTTGTTTTAAAAGATGTATAGACTATTATTAAAATTAAGAATAATATTTTAAAATGGTAGTTCAATACAATGTATTCATATAAAAAGAACCCTTTTAGAAAAAAATCTTTATGTATACAAGTACAAATTTAACAGCGAAACAAAAACGCTGAAAAACTTTGTCATTGAAAAAGACCAGATGACATGCACTGAACGGATGTCATCATTCATTTGAAAAAGGCACCCCTACTCTAACTTGACTTAACCTCTTTTCAAAAGTAACTAATATGTTGATACAATAGTTGGTAGTGAAAAAGAATACCCTACCACCCCTTATTAAAATGATTAGTTTTCCTCATATCCATAGAAACTACTATTATGAATGTATGTGCTTATAAAACTCAGTAAATTTAAAATAAGTTATTCGAAAATTCGCTTGAAAATGAAACAAATAGGGATTTTCATTTAATTCTATAACTGAATTTGAAGTTTTTAGCTTATGTTTTTGAAACATGGTAATTCCTCTGTAGCAATGGAACCGTATTTTTAAATAAGGAAATTTATAATATTTATGCTTTGTAGATTTGCATTGAGCACTGTTCTTTCTCTTTATTGTAACACACACACACATATATATATATATATATATATGAAGATACAGATTCTTAAAAGAATAAAGTATTGTCTTTTTTTTTTTTTAAATTTAAAAAGAAAAAGTCAAAATTTTCAGTCTCAAATAGTAGCTAATAAATTTACAATTTTTACACTTAAAAAGATGTAAATTTTTTTATTGCTATCGTTAAAAATTGCAATATGAAACTACTTTTGTTTTATTTGGTTAAATAAAATAAAATTCAACTCTAAAGAATGATGCTCATGTGAGTTCTTGGTAATGGCTTTGTTTTTTGTGTTCCATATTACCATGTGACACATTTATGATTTGACATAACTGAATGTGTGAATGAATTGATGCCGTTATGATAAAAATAGTTTCTTGGAATACCATTCATTCAAATCAAAAACAATATGACAAAACACAATAAGCAAATATTCTGCTCATTGCTACAAGACAAATGGCTTTAAGTAAAACCCCCAGTCGTTAGAAGTAATGCATATTTCCTGTTTAAGATTGAGTTTCCGGTTCATTCTAAAGTTTACTTCCAGACTATACTTCTAACATCTCTGACTGAACTCTAAAATGTTATTCACTAATTAAATCTTGACCTCTTCAATTTTAGAAGTAGCCGTTTTTCTTTCCTGCATTGCCGCAAGAACTTCACTACTTGCCTTTTCTTACACTAATACAAACCTACACAGTAACCCTCTACCTTGAGTGGCCCTTGTGCCTTGTATTGGGTGAAAATTAGTAAACAAACAAAAAAAAGCATGCTGTGTAGCAATAAATGCATTAATATTTAGAATTGTTGCAAAAATATATTCTTGAAATTTTTTACAATTATATTGTAACTTTATGAAAAATGGTTGTAAGCCTTAGGATGTGCAGGTGACATAATGGATAGCGGCTTGGAATGAGAAATCAGAGAGCTGAGTTCAAATACCAGTTGAGTTTGTTATATTCATATTCACTTATATGCAAAAGTATGAATTCATTTCTCCCCTCAGCTAATGGTTAAATAACAGAGCATGCTGTGCTCTAACTTTGGTTGGCAAACAGCATAGAAGGACAGTTCTGAATTCAAAACTGGTTGGGCATGGGGCTAGTAACTTCATCTTGAAAAAAAAACCTAATTGCTATGGAAACTCCTACTCCCCAGCAGAATCTATGAGACTTGAAGGTGTGAGTGATTGTGACACATTAGCCATTGTTACTTAATCTCATTTAGTTTTTCTCTCAAAATTATTAATAGATCCATTAGATAACTTTCTGCTGAAGTTAATGTGTTTGGGGTAAGTCGGTAAGCTTATTTTTCATTTAGTAACATTGCCATAACACAAAGCTATCAATATTTGAAAAAAAAATTAATGTTCCAATTTAAAGCTTCATTAACATTTAAACATAATGCTTGTGAGAAAGGCATGTCCCTAAATACTGCTAGCCATCTATACCAGTTTAAAAACAAAATTCTGTTATTTTCTCTCTGGTTACAAGTAGAACATGACAAATGGTGAGAGCAGGGCAGTCACCCAGAGCACCATGTCATGTGTTTGGCATCTTCCAAAACTAAAGCTTATAAAAACATATTTGCAGTCATCCATGACTCAAGATAGATTAAATTCTTTGTTTTTTTTGTTTTTTTTTTAAATAGAAAATGATCATATAAAGAAGGTAAGTATAGAAAGTGCCATGAAAAGATTTACAAATCTAGAGGCTAAAAAAAATATTTTAGCTAAGATAATGAATGTTTTCTTTTGCTTGTATTAAGTTGTATAATGTAATAAACTTGTTATTCTACATTTTCAGTTTTTCTCCTTGTGAAAATTAAAAAAAAAAAAAAAATTATACTTTTAAGGACACCAAAATTCAGTTTACCCCTGGGAGTGCCAGCAACACTAGGGCTGTCGCTGGATAAGAGTGGGGTGGGTTTTTTTTTTTTCTCATATATTTATAATTATTATTAGTAGTAGCCAGGGCATACCATTCATGCTTATTGTCATTTACTGAAATATACAATGACTAACTGAAAGTGTTCGGTCTAGATTTTCTTGTGGAGAGACTATTATTTTGTTGAAGAGTGTTTGTTGATATTTTTGTAGAGTTCATTTTGCTGGAACAGAAACTGCAACTGTTTGGTGTGGATTCATGAATGGAGCCATTCAATCAGGATTTCGAACTGCCATTGAAGTGAGTGGGTAACTTTTTAACTATTCTACTAATACATTAAAGTCACTTAAGGGATCTGAAATGTTTTTTTGCTTACTATGCATTTCTCTGTTCATAAGACTTTAAGAGTCCATTAATGTATGCTGTAAAAATTATTTAATACTTTTGAGATTTTACCAGCCAATGAAACTTTGATACAAAGTTATAAAGAAGTGATATTTTAACAATTTTGTTTGTCTCAATGTACAGGGAACCTTATCTTTAAAGAACACATAAAACATTAAGTGGGGAATTAATGGTGTATGTAATAAGGCAAGGTGTATACTCTGGTTTACCAGTCATAGATACAATCAGCTGATGTGCAAAATGACAGCTGAAATATGGTTTTATAAGACTATAAACCAACCAGAAAGTGAAAAATTAAAACAAATGGTTTACAAGCAATCTTTTAAATAGTTATTTTATTAAAAACTCATAAAATGTTAATTGTTTCATTTTGGTATATTTCAGGTGCTTCAAAACCTTCGGCCATCAATAGACGCCAGAGCTATTGAAGCTAGCATCATGCCAAAAGAAGAAGAACTTCCTTCGAAACCCCAATCCACATACCGGTCAATACATTGGTTGGCTGCATTAGCTGGCATAGGTTGTCTAACAGTGATTGCTATAGCTGCCTATAGGGACCATGCAACATCAGCTCATACAAAATTGGTCTACATTAGCAATGATTACTGATACAAACAGTAAACCTCATGTTTTTTTTGGGGGGGGAGTGGCGAATTTGGTTACTACATCTGACTACACACATTTTGGTACCACTTTGTTTTGGTTATCAATGGGAAAAAAATGAAACAAAATGTATGGTCTCAAAAAAAAATTTTAAAACAATAATCACTTCTATCAAGTGTGGGGGGGATAATTTTCTGTTAGTTGTTTTGAAGGCTGTATCATTAAGCAAACAAACACCTATCTTTAAAAACAATCATATTCAAAATAGATTTTAGAGAAATTTTTCTGATGTACAGTTTTAAAGGCACCTCTCTATCTCATAATAGTTATATTTAATGGGACAGAGGAAATATACTTTATTTCCTCCACCCCACACCCAAAAGAAAAAGGCATACAAGCACGTTAAATATTTTTAAAAGTATTTTTGACATATTTTAAACTTTTACTTCAGTGAGTATTGAAACTCTTAGACATGTTACTTTCTTTTGACAGGAAACACATTGAAAACATAAACATTATAATTTAAATAAAAATAAAAACTGTACTCAGGTTTTGAACACCCAACTGGCTCTCAATAAACTAAGCTTCACTCAACTGCTTAACTAGTGAGAGTGAAAATTATTATCACATGTTTTCTTTTTGCCTTTCACAAAACTCACTTCTTAGAATAACATAATCAGGATTAGCTCTCATAATAGTCACTAAAACTGATAGTATTTGAATATAAAAATGATTTTTACCAGAAATATAGATTGAGCGGTGCTTCAACCTATGACATACATATATATAGTAAAATTCCCAGATGAATTCTATGGACAAGACAGATTGGTATATATATATATATATATATATATATATATATATATATATATATATATAATCTGACAATGCCATATTGGCTTCCCCCACTCCGTAACACTTTTGTTAGTTTTCTGTTATCTGTGAGTTCTGCTATTAATGGTTTTTTGCAGTTATTTCTAAAAATTCTAGCAGGTAGCAAAACTAAATTCAATGTGGAAAACTGGGACTTTAGATTCAATATGCCGAAATTGATATTACTACCATGTGTGTGTGAAGCTATGTTGGCTAAATTGAGCCACTAAAATTCAGGCTTCATAGTTTACAAATCTTCAACTTATTTTCATCTTTATTTTATTGATCAACACATTTGAATTGTTAAGAATTTCAATGCAAATAGGGTAGGGAATTACTAAGGAACTGATATAATGTTTTTGGTTTATTTTCCTATGCTTTCCTTTTTTTGTAATATCCTGAAAAGGGCATTCTAAAATCACTACCTGGTGACATGATTCAATATACTCTTTATGTCTAATATTTTTGAAATTATAGGATTTTAAAATATTGCCAAAATATAATTGTTGCAGAAATACTATTTTTCATGAAGCAAGTTTCAAAATATTTATAATCAGTGACTAGAATAATGTTCTCTCTTGATAATATACTGAGTGAGATTAGGAAAATCTATCCTATTTTTAAAATTTAAAAAATATGAAGTGAAAAAGAAAAAAACACAAGTGACTTAACAGAATTTTTTTTTTAAAGACAGTTTTTATATTCGATGTTAGTTTTTAAAACTATTATCTGTGATAATAAATAGCTCAATGCAGACTCAATAAACTTATCAAGTTGATTCAAAGCTTAAACAAAGCAAAAGCACCTGTTCCTTAATTGATACACTATGAACAAACTTTGATTTATAGTTTCTGCATTGTGCCAGCTAGCAAAACAACATTTTTAAAAGTTTAAATTAACTTTTAGAGATAAAATCTTAATCAACTCATTCTCATATGAATGCTTTACTTTTGTTTTTCAGCAAAACAATAATCTAGTGACCAAATTTAATTGAAAATCATCCTCCCCATTTTCTATATATTTTTTTTTCTGTTGAACATATTGTGATACTGAACCAGTTTGTTTGTTTTTTTATGTCCCCTTATATACTTATAAAATCTACTGCAGTCAATGCTGCAAATATGTACTTCTCATCTTTGGGGATTAAAATAGTTAAGACATCAGTTTCAGCATTGAAACCAGGTTTTTAACTAAAATACATGGTGGAGCTTTAAGTTTCATTTTTATATCCCAAGTGAAAGTAGTTTCCATTTTGTAATGTGAAAAAAAAAATAATTAAATAAACTGAAATCTGTAACAACTGCTAAAAAAAAAAAAAAAAAAAAAAAAAAAAAAATTCCAATGTTTGTATTGAAATTGATTGAAAGTAAAAGCACAAAATATAGATGTTTAAATAAGTAAAATTACTGATGTTTTAAAAAGAAGAAAAGTAGTCTTGTGCTAACAGGATAAATATGGAACAATGCCAAAGCTTCGCATGTTCAGTTTCTATGACCTCCTCATTGTCCCCTGTATTAGGTTTGTTTTCAACAAATTGATTTTGAGGAGACAAGAAAATGTATTAGTAAAGATTGCTGGAAATTCCTATAGATCTGAGAAAATATTTATATGTGTTTTTAAAACTATCTTTAAAAACAACAAAGACAATTTTTTTAAGACTGAAAAAAAAAAAAAAATCTAAAAACAAAACATCAATATTTTTCATTAGCTATTTTATCAGAGGAAATACTTTTATTACAATTTAACCTAACACCTTTATAATGGATGACTGAATAAGAGTTCCAGGTAAATTAACTCTTAAAAGATTGTTATTGTGATTAAAACACCTGAACCAATTTAAATAAAAGATTCTTTTCAGTCTTTAAAATGGTAGACATAACAGTTTCTGTTTTCTACCAAAGTGTAAATTTCACGGGACAAAATATAAAGAAAACTATGAAGACATTAAAAAAAAAAAATGCTGATTAAATATTTTCCTATGTGCATAAAGAGAATTATGTTTAGTAAACATCATTAGCAAAATAAATTTAAAATAATGAAAAATGTTTTTATAACTTTTATATTTATGCTGTTTTGGAGAGGTTACTAAATCTAACTTATAAATGTGTATATCATGTGGCAGCTAAATTTTGGTAAAATTATTTTTCTATGCGGATTACTGGTGAATTTTTTTCTTTTACAATGCATCATATTGCAAATTTGCTTTCTTTGAAATTTGACAGCATAAAAATTAAAAAGAACAATTTGAAAATTTTTTAAAGTATTTACAGCAGTCATATCTATTTAATATTTTTATAAATATTCCCAACTCCTCCTGGAGTTGGGACGATGTTTAATTATGTAATACAGCCTTTCATTTGAATATTATATGATATATACTATAAATTAGTGTGAGCCATAAATTTTACAGGTTTAAAAATTTTTTCCCTTATAAGAATTTGTTCATTTTTCAATGTTGACTTCCCTTTTAATCTAAAAAAAAAAAAAAAAAAAACACACACACACACACACACATGCATTAATACTCTTTAAAATTTGAATTGAGACCTATTTATGATCCCAAGTAAAACTGAAAATTTATTTTCTAAAGTAACTATTTTATCACATGGGAAAATTAGAGAAGTGACTTTGCCTTTTGACTTTCACTTTAGCCAGAGTAAGTCTTCTTACCAACACAAAGTTGGAAATATCAAACAAATTATTGCCCCAATAAAATCACACACAGTAATGTCACTATACACTTTGTCAATGTTTTGACCAAATTCAGCAGTTTTGATTTGCACAAATCAAACTCAAAATGTCATAATACTGGTATTTCAAAAGTAGCCCAGTCTGACAATCCTGGTGCAAATACTGAGCATTTAAATGAATTCATTTTGCACAACATTGATGGAGGCAAAATCATTACCTGAACAAATAACTAATAAACCAATACATGTTAGATACACAACTGACTTTATATTGTATTACAATAGTAGTAACATTAATGCTACACAGATATCTGTTAAACTCCATAGTGAGCATACATTATAGATATTGCTTTCTCTCGAGCCAAGTCTGACACAAAGCTTTGTTTTTCATAGGATTGTATGGAGCCAACCTGATGTATTAACAATTTTTTTTTGTTTAATTGTATCTTATATTAATTGAAAATTTTAGTTCTTCATGTCATGTGATGCTTAGAAAGAACTGATAAACATTCAACCACAAAAATCAAGTTTTTCTAAGTAGGAGATGGATAATACTTAACGACAATACTCAATTATACATTACCTGGACCCTAACACTGTTTTCTAGGATAAAGCAAAATAAATAAATAAATAAAAGAGAACAAAAAAAATTTTCTTTAAGATCAATTTCTTTTCTCTTCTCACTGATCAGAAAAGTTTTAAAAAAATATAAATCCGAAAACCATTTTAACCCACTCTTCAATTACAAAGATTTACCTCCCTTGAGCGAAGACCATAACTCGAGAAAAAAAATATAATCAAAACATTACTTTTTCTAACCCTGCCCAATAAGTTTAAGCAAAATGCAGACTATATAAAATAAAACAGCAGCAAATCTAGTGCCTTGCACACGTTAATACAACTCTGATAATGACAAATTGATCATAATAGATTTCATTAGGAATCTATTCAGGTGTATTCATTATTTAAACATTCATACTGTAGAGGCTTACCTTGCAATAAACATATTTGAAGTAAATTCTACTGTTTGTTTTTATTTATAATCTTTCATATTAAAAATAAATTACTCCCAATTTTATGGATAGGAATATATGTTGAAACAAAGAACTCAATTTAATTTATAATAGAAAAATTTTACTGTTATAGAATTGTTATACGTGTTCATTTTCATTAAACACAAATGTTGACAGATGAAAAATCTCTAGACATGAGTTTATTTACAACTTTGCTCACAATGACTACTTGGTCCCACTCACAGAACAACACTGATAATTCTTTGCTTTTATACATGTATTTCCACTTGTGCTATATTGAAAATCTTTGGTTCAAAGTCAATTTTTAAAAATTACTAAACTCAAATCCAAAATTGACCTTATTCAGATAACAGGAAAAAAAAGTTGGTTTCAAATTTTGCTTGAAACAGTTCAAAACATGTTTCAAGGA